TGTATGAATAAATCTATGTATAAAATATATATGCATATACATATACAAGTGCTTTGCATACCTTCTCGCTTACAGCTGCCACCGCTGGCTACCCTCGTACGAAAAGGGAGCAGCTATGCATAAGACTCCCCTGCCAGCTCATAGCCTCTCCATCATCAAGACTTCTGCAGTGCCTCCTCGTGGCCACCCATGGAAACTAGGTACCTTGCGGTCCTAGGCTGAACTGTGGAGGCTCATGGAGCAGCAGGAGGCCCTAAAGGTACGGAGTCATGGCCCACCGGCGTGTGGACACGCCCTGGCTTCGTACTAACTCCTGCCCACGTGCCTCCTGGGGTTAATGGCTGTGGGGAGGCAGGCCTTGCCAATCTGCCTCCTCAAGATAACCGTATTGGTAGCTGATCATACAGTTGTCGGTGCTGGGGGGAGGGCTAAAGTCCCTCTCAACCAGCAAGTACGGCGGGTTGTGAGTCCTTCTGGGTTGGCGACCGGGTAGGGAGCGGGGGTTACCCGTCGTCCCATCTGGGTCCCGGCGGCCGCCAACCTGGCGTGAGGCTTATAGGGGGAAAGCCCTAGGGAGCCCTGCGGGTGGATTATGGGACCTGCAACCAGCCAACCCCCTCTATATGGGGCAGCGTCGGTAGGTGTGGCATGGGTGTCGCCCACCCGGAGTGACTGCACGAGGTCTGACCTCAGGCAGGCTGTCAGGGTAGGGGCTTGGAACGTCCGTTCCTTGCAACAGGACGATCGATTACCATTACTGAAGGAATGGAAGCAGTTGAGAGTTGAGGTGGCTGCTCTCTCGGAGGTCAGAAGACCTGGCAGTGGCACGATTATTGTGGGTGCCTACACTTATTACTGGTCGGGCCGCAGCGATGGCTACCATCTCCAGGGAGTAGCCATAGCCAGCAGACTTCAACCCTCCGTAGTAGAGGTCACTCCAGTCGATGTGTGTATTATGGTATTGAGACTGAAGCTTTCATTTGGCTTCATGTACACTCCTACGGATGTATATAAACTTGATGTGATGTTAGTACTGTTCTGGGTGACTTCAATGCGGTATCCAGCTGCGATCGAGCTGGCTGCAAGATGTCTGTTGGTCCTCATGGCTCGGGAGCTGATGATGGCAACGAGAATATCATTCTTTTCCGTGACATTGCTAGGTCCCAGAAATTGAGGATTTCTGTCTCCTAGTATCAGCCTTCTGACACGCATTGTTGGACTTGGTGCAGCAATATGGGTAGAGTGGTCATGGAGATTGACCACATCCTCATTAGCACTTGATGGAGGATCCTCCAGAACTGCAGGGAGTATCGAAGCGACGAGTTCTGTTGAACTGATCATAGATTAGTTGTGGATACTCTCCAAGTCCACTTTAGAGCCCCCCATCGCCCCAATAAACACCCTAGTTTCATGTGGACAGAGTGAAAGAGGATGAATGTGCCCAGGGGGTCGTCAAACAGCACTCGAGGGCCTGATGGACCCTGTTCTTCTGTGGGACACCTCCAAGTGTGAAATGCTTGATGTAGCCCAAGAATCAATTGGTGAACGTCCAAGAGCAAGACAGAATTCCATCTCGCAGGAGACATTGGAAGCCACAGATGCTTGTTGTGTGGCTCGATTGTCAGGGAATTGCAACTTGCACTATTCTCTGGTGCGCAGGACTAGGTCACTGGTGAGAAGGGATGAGGAAAAGTTTATCAGGAATCTTGGAGAGGAGGTCGAAAGTCATTTCCTAGTAAATGATCTTCGTCCTGCCTACCAAGCCCTGAAAAAGCTGAACTCCAAGCCCTCCTCACAGATGACTGCAGTCTGCTCAGCAAGTGGCCAGATAATCTCAGATCCTGATGGGGTGCGTGTGCATTGGGCTGAGTATTTTGAGCAGTTGTATCGGGTTGATCCACCAACAGTTAACTTGGCCGGGGGTAATGTTGAGATTCCTCTGCCAGACCCACCCACCCTGACTGAAGCCAGGGAGCGATTTCCAAGCTGAAGAGTGGTAAAGCAGCAGGTATTTGTGGCATCCCAGCTGAATTGTTAAAGGCTGGTGGAGAACCGATGGCAAGGGGCTTGCATGCAATCCTGTCTGCCATCTGGCAGACTGGTACCATTCCCCCTTACCTGCTGAGGGGTGTGGTCATCCTTCTCTGGAAGGGGAAAGAGGATTGGTGGGACTGCAGTAATCACCGAGGCATTACACTACTCAGTGTAACAGGCAAGGTACTCGCACACATCCTACTGAGACGTATCAGAGACCACCTGCTGAGGCACCAGAGGCCGGAGCAATCTGATTCACTCCTGGTAAGTTCACAATAGACCGCATCCTGCCGCTTCGAGTCATTGTAGAGTGCCATCGTGAGTTCGGATGTGGGCTGCTCGCAGCCTACATCGACCTCAAGAAGGCATTTGATACGGTTCATCGCAAATCACTATATATATATATATATATATATATATATATATATATATATATATATATATATATATATATATATATATATATACACACACACACACATATGAGAGGGCTCCAGAAAGTTCGTGGAAATAAGTCCACAACTAAAATCTATACAGAAAGATTTTGATTTCAACGCACTTGAATATTCTTGTACCAATGTGTTATAATGTGTTCAAACATGAACCCTTAAATGCAGGTAATTACGCATCGCCATCAGGTGGAAGTCATGAGATCTGTATCATGTCAGAGTAGCTTTATTTACATCTTCAACTGATGGAAAATTGGTACCTTTCAATTGTTTCTTTTTTTTCCCATCGAAATTCACGTAGCACAGATCTTGTCTGCCGAGCGCCGTGATCGAGTGCATTGTGGAGGTGGAAGAGAACGCGTTGATGCAGCTTTCCAGGGCGTTTTTTCTGAGATTATTTGCAGTTTTCTCAAAACGCGTTTACAATAAGCAGATGTAATTGTTTTCTTGCTCTCGAGGAAGTCAACCAGCAAAATCCTCTTTGCAACCCAGAAGACAGTGGCCATGACTTTCCTCCTGAATGCTCAGATTTTGCTGTGACTAATCCACTTCCACCCCTGGGCAGCCACTGCTTTGATTAAATTTTGTCCTTGGGATCGTACTGGTAGAGACATGTTTCGTCCCATCAAAATTCTCTACAGAAAAGCTTCAGATTCCTCATCCCACTTGTTCAAAATTCCATTGAAAGATCTAACCTTCTTTGCTGCTCTGGACGCAACAGCCTAGGGACTTATCGAGCGGAAAGGTTGCTTAGCCCCAAACTCTCCACCAGGATTGTGTGTGCAGAACCCACAGAGATGTTGAGTGTGTCTGCTACTGATTATGATGGTTATTCGTCTATCCTTTTCAATCATATCGCGAACAGAATCAATGTTTTCCTCACAAACCGACGTTGATGGCGTGCCACTACGGGGCTCATCCTCAATCTCATTTATTCCACTTCTGAACCGACTTATCCATTTGTAGGCTGTTGATTTCTTTGGGGCATTGTCACCATCAACTTGTTCTAGAGCGTCAATGATTCGCTTATTCTACCAACCGAGTTTCACCATGAATTTAATGTTTGTCCTGGCCTCAATTTTGGTGGATTCCATGTTGCGTGAATGGTGCCTGACTTCCAACTGGCGGCGATGCGATATTACCTGCATTCAAGGGTCCATGTTTGATCACTTTATAACACGTTGGTACAAGAATGTTCAGGTACAGTGAAATCAAAATCCTTCCATATGATTTTTAGTTTTGAACTTTTTCCACGAACTTTTTGAAGCCTCCTCATACACATCTATATCTATTTATCTATCTTTCCCTATCTATCTATACACACACACACACACACACACACACATATATATATGTATATATATATATATATATATATATATATATATATATATATATATATATATATATATATATATATATATATATATATATATATATATATATATATATATATATATATATATATATAACTATGAATAAATGTACGTATGTTTTTGGATATGATATTTTCTGCACGTGTGCCTTGCCACTGGATTAGTAGTCACACTGCCATCTTAAGAACTAAAAATCAATACGAAAAGAGTGTGAGGCCTAGCCTTGCCTCTTCCTTTTTGGGCTGATTGAGGAGAAAGGAGAAAGGAAAGCTTAGGAACGTTATGTATATGTCTGGATGTATTTGGGACGTTACGTATTCTATTGAGAGAGGCAGAAAGTAACAATATATAAATATTTACCAATATCAAGAAGTGTCTCCTTGATTTCCCATAAAAAGGAAAGTTAGAAATGTAAGAGATTGCTTGATGACTGACTGCGTGTAGTTAAATACATAAACTAATATGAACAATTTCAAGAGGCTGTTTCCTCTAAATAACACTTCACATAGTAAGGCAACCATTCTGAATAATTTGAATCTGTAGAAAAAAGACAGTGATGCCTCTCTTTCTTTCGCCTGACACATGGCCAGCCCACTGACGTAAAAGGACATGTTACACTTGTGTTGTATCAGATGGTAAAGATAACATCTTTCCTCTTTTCTTCTTATTCTTCCATTGGTATATCTTTTTTTTTAAGAATGGTGCCAGCCTCATCTTGTCTGTGTCAAAGGTTATCTGTTTTTGGTTAAATGAACGGAATTTGAAATAGAAGGATCAACTTTATCTTTGTCAACGTATTTTTTCAAAGTCATCTGCTGGATAAACACACAGTGAGTACAATCATGTTTACATATTTGTTCATAAAACACAATTTTACTGCTGGTTATGTCTTATGAATGCGTTAATGAATTAAAATTTAACGATACGAAATCTTTGCATATTTCAACTGTCTATCAAGAGAATGCATGTATTTCTTCTCGGTCATTTGAACACCATCAAAAAAGAAAATATATATCACAGACAAAGGAATTAAAGAGAAAAAAATAACATATACAAGTCCCCCCTCCAAGAACCCGAAGGCTACAGACACGTTTTCTTTGAATCCCCATGACTCTGGGTTTCGTGACGAAAGCGACCGAAGAGCAAATCCCAAGGAGGAGGAGTGTTTACATCCTCGTCTTGTGACATTTCTCAAGGAATGGTGACGACTGAGTTCTCCCCGAGGCTGAGGATAAGACGAGGAGGTCGCTAGGAGTCGAAGAAGGACATATTCAAGGAGGAGTGAGAAGTAGGCCGAGGATAAAAGGTAAGAAGAGGGGAAGATTTTAATCAGAGGTGCACACACTTACACGTCACGATTCGGTGACTGACACACATACGTACATACGCTCTCGCTCGCACACAGGAATTTTATTTGTTTTATTTGTTATATGGTGAAACAGGCATGGTTGTGGTCAGAAGGCGTTATAGGAAAAAGATTGTTGGCTGGAGTGCCCTATGAAATGAGTGTGGTCTCTCAATTGAAAACCTTTTTGACTGCTGGACTGTGTATTGAAGTGAAATGAAGTGTATTTTTATTTTTTCTTGATTGTATTTTTTTCTCTGAGGTGAATGAAATGTATTTATATTTTTTCTTGATTGTATTTTTTGCACTGAGGTGTGTGAATGTTCTCAGCTGTTCATTTTGTTGTGTTCTTTGTTTGGTTTTCTGTGTAGAGCATTAGGTCTCTGATACATAGGTATGAAGCCTCATAGCCAAATGATATGAAATAATACTTTCATATTAATTTACCTTTTTTTCAATATCTTTTCATACTGTAATGCAGTTTGTGGATTTGAGATATTATGACACTATATTGTTTTGTTCATAAGGAGGCCATTGACAGAATCTGATTTCCATACATTACATTTAATTTCTGTGTTACATATTATACTGAAAAATATTTTAAGTACTGCTTGTATAAATAGTTGTTATGTATCTTGTAATATCAGTTTATGATAGTGAAAAACTAGAAAACAGATTGTATCATTTAACTGAGAGTATAATTCGGAGATATAGATTATCTTTGTCCAAACTTTGTCATTGAATATCAGTGATAAAATGGAAGCAGTTACATGATACTCTGCTAGTATAGGCCAAAAGAACCAAATATTTAAAGAGAAACTGATTACAGTAGAGTAAGGCGCGAGTAATAAGAAATAGACCTAAGGGAGTAAGTAAAGATAATAATATGGTATTTTCAAGTTTGTGTAGGTAACTTGAGGTATTCATTTTGGGTTGGAAGTGTTCTGAAGTTGGTAGTGAGTTTCATGTCAGTAATAGGCCTAAGCAAAAGAGATGTAGCATTTCTTGAAATAGCTTCAGAAAAAAGTTGCATTTTTAGACTTATGATTTTGATGTATTATTTTCTTTGTATAGGTTTATTATTATTATTTTTTTATCATTATTATTTCTACTCTTTCCAGATACTTGATGTGCACCATTTTGTGATCTTTAATTGAAGAAAATTCTGGATAAAAGATTGCTTTGATGTAAAATAGATTGGATTTTATCCTTGTGAATTCTTGAATAGAAAATTATAAGTCCGTTGCAAAACCATTTGTCTCTGAATATTTTTTTTTTTTTCTTTAGATATCTTACTGCCTAAAACAAGGCTGATCATTATTGAAATATTGGATATACCATAATATTGCTGGATATACAGACACTTATCCAAGCGAACTGAGTGAGGAACAAAAGCGAACCCATGTGGCATTCTCAGAAGACTTGTCAACCTGTCATCAAGCTCCCATAGCTGGCATCCTCTCGCACAGAAGTCCGGTTAGGAATACCTCATGTTAAGCCGGTTCAAGACTGCCCTTTACAATGTGGTTGGGAGTTTTGATCCAGGGGAAAACAACGTGGGGGCTCTGGGACCAGGGGTGACATCGACCCTCCCTACGGCCTCTGGGGTTTCAAGAAGTGCTAGTCAGTCAAGCAGCTCAAGAGAGAAGGTGATATGCAATGCATTTTTTTTTTTAGTTTTTATGAATGTTTTATCTGTTTTGCTAATTATTATTGAGCAATTTTGTTGAAATTTCAAGCATATGTGGAAAAAAGAAAAAAAAAAAAATTATGTAATACTATACTAAACTTTGATTTAGTGTAAGTAATGGCCTACTCATCAAAACACTATTAAGCAGCAAGTTATTTAGGAAAGTAACAAACATCCCATAAAATTCAGGGTCTGCGATTCCCCTACACACGACCACACTTCCTGCAACTAAATTCGGAAGATGAGATCCAGGTATCAGCTGACCATGCCATTCGGCCAATCATCTGCCCCAGGGACATCAACAGACTGCCCTGGAAGACTGGATATGCAGAGTAAGTGCCATTTTGTTAGTTTATGTATGTATATATGTATGTATATGTTTATTTGTTTATTTATTTATTTGTTTATTTATTTATTTTTTTTGCTTATGTTTATTTTTATTCATTTTTTTTACTTTATTCCTCCATGCAATAAGATTGTATGAAATAATGTTGATATGTTATTAATGCATTTTTATAGATAAGGTTTCCATTTGCAGGTATAAGCACAGATACATGTAGATATCCATATACAGATATGCCTACAGAAGTGCATGCATACATATATATTGATATATATATGGATGCAGATATATACATAGATAAGTGTATGACCCCCACATACAAAGATGCATGCATACAGACACATATACTGGATATGTATGAATATGTATACTCAGATATATATAAAGACATACACAGATATGCAAACAGACACATGTGCAGATTCAAACACTTTCTTATATACCTCTGGACATATGCTGATACACATGTACATGTATACTTACACATACCCATATGCAGACACTGACAACGATTCTGACATTGACACCAATCTCATAGTACAGGCACTGCTTTTGGTACTGATACAAACTGATAGCAAAAAAGAGACTAGTATGTAGTCAGATAATCAAGTAAAGGTATCCTTTATTATATATTTGATTTTTTATGTGCAGGATATTGAAAAGGTTTTTATGTTTGTTAGAGATATATTTGCCAATGCTGATATAGTGATAGAGGAGGAGCAGATAGTGTTATATCTTAGGGTAATATGGCAAATATTTGTTCATGATAATTATTGATATTTAATTTTTTTTATATTTTTTTTACAAGTTCGCTTGTGTTTTCTGTATTCTGATGATAATCATATTAAGTGTCCAATCAGTGTTTGTTTATAGAAATTAAAACAATTTTTATATATTATCAGCTTTTTATTTAGATGTTATAATATGGTAAACTTTTAATAAATAATCTCTACTTGCAGGACGATCAATGCAGGAAAATCCAAGAAAAATGAGGACCAGGCCATGGTGCACACAGGGCTCCTCACGCGTCCCATTAGGTCGGAGTCATCCAATAGCCGGTCATCACCCACACTGTCCAAAGAACAAAGTCTTTCAGTCAGGAATGAGCCTTTTGTCAATGGCCATGCAGAGGAGGTAGAGCCCTCAAAAGTAGGAGCAGCACAAGAACACACCGTTGTCTTATCACCTCAGGGAGCTACTACAGAAACTTCCACTAGCAACACAAAGGACAAAAAAGAAAATTCTAATAGCAAAGACTCTCAGGATGGCAATAAGAGCAGCACTAATGGTGAGGAAAGCAAAAGCACTAACACAATCAGGCAAGGTGTAGTCTTGCAGCATCCACTGGCAGAGCCATCTCCAGCCCCAGCACCCGCTATCACTAGTCAGCCAGACAGCAAGACTTCCAACATCCCTCCGTCCACGACCCCACAGCCTCCCCCGGTGTCCTCGGTGTCTCTTCCATACTTCATTTTCGGGGTGTTTGACGGGCATGCAGGATGGGGAGCAGCAGTGGCCGCAGCTAATCAGCTTCACCATATCATTCATGTTAGTGCTTTAATTTTGCAGAAGTTGTAGACATTATTAATGTTATATATGTGTCTTTTTTTAATGTTATTATGTCCTCCTTCCTGCCTCCCTACTCTCATTGATACTTAATGGGAAACTATCTGTTGTCTTCCACAGGAAAAGTTATGTGATGTTATTGATGTGCTCCTGCCTGATCCAAATGAGGACAAGAGTACTAAGTCACAATCACCACTCTGGCTGCCAGATAAAGAAATCACAGTGGAAAATGTTGTAACTGGTGCACTAGAGTGTGCCTTCTGGGAAATGGTGTGTAATGAATAGTAGAAACATCTCATATATGGTAATTCCGTACTATTTATCTTTGTACTTTTATAACTCCAGGTTAATGTGACTGTGTCTTTCAGGATAATGTGATTGGTGAAGATCGGCTGAAGTTCCAGTTGCAAGGAGGGTGCACTGCATGCGTTGCAGTCTTCATCCATGGCAAACTTTTCTTAGCCAATGCAGGGGATTCCCGAGCTGTCATCTCACGTGCAGATCAACCTCTACCTATGTCTCATGATTTTACACCGGAGACTGACAATCAACGCATAAGGAAGCTGGTATAATTTTTCTGTTAATCCTTTCATTAATTACTTGAAAATTAGTAGATTAGAGATTTATAATTGGTGATAGTCTTCTTGATATTCAGACGGAGATCATGTGTGCATGATAATTAAGAGTAAGGGTGACCTTACAAAATGACAAATATATCTTGAAAAAGTTATGAATATAATCATAGTTACTTTAGGTAGCACTAGCACATTATTGATCTTTGGACATACAAGCATTATTACAATTAATCAGTCTTATTTTTTAAATCAGATGATTAGCCCTCAGACTTCGATGGGTCCTTTTGGACTTTGGATGATAATTACCTAAACTAACAACCTCTCAAACTCCATTCTCACAGGGAGCCATGCATCCAGAACTGCTGGGAGGAGAGTACACGCACCTGGACTTCTTCCAGCGTCCACTACGGCGTGACCTTGGCAGGAGAATCCTTTATCGTGACCACTACATGAGTGGCTGGACATACAAGACCATCACCCCTGATGACCTCAAATATCCACTTGTGTGTGGAGAGGGAAAAAGAGTGAGTTTTTTTCTTTCTTTCTTGTGTGACAGATGGTAAGGCCTGAAACTTGACTGTAAGTTAATTGAATGAGAAGAATTAAGAATTCAGTGAGGGTGAACCATTGTCTGAGAAGAAATAGTTCATCTTCTAGACCAGTAGTTCTGGATCTCTTTCTCAAATTCTCTTTCAGCTGCTTCACTTATTCCATATCTACTCTTTTGGTGGCAAAGAAAAAAATATCTGTGAATACATAATTTACTTATGTAACAGCAGCTTTATAAAAGTATAACATTTGCATCCATATTATGCATATCAGTGTTCTAGATAGTTACATTACTCTGGAAGGGCCTAGAATATTTAGCTATGTTCATGTTTAGAGGTTTAGAGATTTTAGTATCATATTTCTTATTGTCTTCACTAAATATGTTTTTATGTCTTCCCCTACCCAGAGTCGAGTATTGGCAACCATCGGAGTGACCCGTGGCTTTGGGGATCATGACCTAAAGGCCCAGTGCTCATCATTACCCATCAAACCATTCCTTACTCCAGAACCTGAGGTAGATAGAAATTTTAGTCTTTTTGCCTGCTTCCTTTTAATGCTTGCTTATTATCTACATCTCCATTTCCCCTTTTTTATAAATGTTTCTTTAATTTTCCTTCTGGTTAATGTACCACATGATTGGAAAAATATATATTTACGGTTATTCAACAATTTTTAAAGTGTCAGGTTGTACCTAGCCCTAAAAACTGAGGGAAAATTAGCCTGAGGACAAGTACTTGTGATATCTGATTATGATATTGAAGTGGAAGGGAGTTGCTTATGTAAATTCCTTTGTTGTGAATAATTTTCCTTCGTTTCAGGTGAGAATATTTGACTTAACCTCAGCAGATCTGACTGATGGTGATGTTCTGATCCTTGCAACGGATGGTCTCTGGGATATCACCACCAATGAGAAGGCTGTCTCCATAGTAACAAAGTCTCTCTCCCATTTCCCAGCCGAGGATCATGATAAATACAAGTACAGGTAAGTTAGTGACAAATTGTTTTGATATGTTCAAAAGAGATACTGAAGAAGTCTTATTTTTTTAATGTGTTTAGCATGATACCTTTTTTAGTAATTTATTTATTGATTGTTATTATTATTATTTTTATATTTCTTTAACATTTTCTCAATAGATACACAGGTGCTGCTCAGGATCTGGTCATGAGTGCCAGGGGAAAGTTGAAAGAGAGGAACTGGCGCACGAGTGATGATAAACATGCAACCATTGATGACATATCTGTGTTTGTTATCCCTCTTAAGCCTTACAAAGAAATCAATGAGGAATGGACTCTTAAATACAAAGCCAGTGTTGGTGCTAGTCAGAAAACGTGTGAGATAAAAAACAGAGTTGGTGCGACTAGTAGTGTCTTGAGCCGGCCTGTAGTTAGCATTCTGAACCCTGTTGAACCTACCGAGGGGCTTGATCAGTGCTCAGTTGCGCAGACTGATGAACCTGAGAGCAGTGTGGCTGAACAAAATGATAAACCTGCTTCACCTTCAGAGGAGATCATTGTGACACCACCTGTCAGTGCAGCAGACCTCAAACCGCAGGAGGACTACTTCAGAGATGACTCGGTAACAGAAGCACAAACTACAGTGCCAAGTGACAGCACAAATGCCTCCTAGTGAAGGTCAGCAGGCATCACTTCCTCATATGTTGAATGTGAGGAACTTTATATCTGTTTTGTGATATCAAGTTTTAAAGGTACCTTATTTGCCAGGGAACATATTTCAGATTTTAGTGCATTAAAATGGAAATGTGAATTTTGTACTTTGTGCATTTACAAAGATTTAAAAAAGAGTAATTGGACTTGCATAAAGTTACTAATGATTATTTGCAAAATCAGTAAAGTTCATTAAAAAAAGTGACACAAATTGAACCACAAGTGGTAGGAAGAGAAAATATATATCGGAATCTTTAAAATCATTGTCAATTCATTCCTGACTATTTATGCTTCACTATTTGAGTCTCACAGGTAATGCACACTTCACACACTGTGGATTTTAGTGGAAACCTTTTCACATTATTGTACACATACCTACTTAAGATGTTGAATTTGGAGGTCCCAAGATAAAAGCTTCATATCTTTTTATTGTATGAAGCCAGTCTGTTATGTTTCTTCTGAAACACTGGATCATTATCTTTCAGCCTTTTCATTATGACTTAGCTGAGATCTTTTGGAAGTGAAAGGAAAAACTTACCATGGTATTCATGCAAAAATACATTCCATTGTAGATATATTGATTTAATGTCACAGTATATATGTGTAGGTTTATGATAGAGAATTATCTTTTTATCAACCTTGTTTTCAAAATTTTCTTGAACAGATTTTTTTCTCTTATTTCTTTAGAGATTATTTTATGCCATTGGGCTCTTGTAATTCCAATTAATGCACAGATATTTAACTGTGTGACAGAAAACATCTCACAGTTTTGTCAGTCAGGTATATAATTATAGAGCATTCCTTTGAAGACACTGAATAAACAATGCTTGCTTGATATTCAGTGTTTGTCAATTTAATTTGTATACGTATCTTGTAAAATAATTATGTTGTTTGTCATACCAGTCTGGCAGTATTATTGTCATTTCTCTGTAGAGAGGGAAAAAACTTTAGTTTATAGTGATAGATGTTTATATCTAGATATTAATAAGTACAGAAAGAAAAAGACATATGATGATAACAAAATGAAAAGGGTAAAATGCCAGGAAATACCAAAGTTATTTTGGAGATAATGAAAGGACCTTTTGAAAGTGTTATATAAAAGAAAGTTTTGAATGAAGGTGAAGTACACCTTGGAAAGCAGTGAGAAAGAAGTTAAAAAATATAAACTTCACTGTCTGAAGTAATTAAGCTGAAGATTCAGTTGAGTTCAGAAGAAACAGAAAAGGAACTTTTAGCTAGGATGGTTTGATCATTCAGCCAGTCAATGAATGATATATCAAGAGGCCCAAGATTGTTGCAACACTTAAGAGTATCCCATTGTACCTCAGCAAACATGTGATAGTTGTGCGTGGAAATTACCAGAGTTAGAAATTTAGCTTCTCTGTGAGCCATTTTTTGGGAGGTAGTAAAAGTCACCTATGACAATTTTTTCAACAGTGATTTTTTAGTTAATTCATATTTCCATTTTTCTAGAATCTGGAAAACCTAATGTATCAGTTAGAGAGTTGATTTTTTCCCCTAAAAGAATGTAAAATAGTTAATCGCATATTATTAACTGTATGTATGACACTGAACTGCCATGAGCATAAATGGTGTCTTACTGAAATGCATGACACTTACAGGGCATGCATTGACTTGGTTCACATTGTTATTGTCCTTGTGAGTAGTTTGTAAACCCTTGTCAAGGAGTAGGATATGGTACTGGAATAGAGGCTGACTGTATGATTATAGTGAAAGTTTATGATTTTTTTTTCATTAAAGCACTTGAATCCTTTGAAGTGCTCCATTTAGGATTTATAGCCATGTTCTGCCCAATTCCATCTCTGAGCTTCTTGGCAGTATTTTAAATACTTTCCATTACCAAAGTATTGTTATGATATATAAAGTATTTATTAATAAATGTACTGATAGAATGACTGTGCTCAAATGATTTGCTCTTGTGTAGTGTGAACAAAAAACAAACAAAAAAAAAGATGTGATAAATTTCATGAGCCATGGAAGAAAAATCATTAGTTGAGATTCTTTTTTCTTTCCTTGTTTTTACTTATTTTTGTGTCATGGCAAGCAAGGTCCTTAGTGCAGAGAAGCTTGCAGTAAAAGCTTTGGAAGTGAAAATATTGGTATTTTAAAAGAAAGTTGGACAAATTCAACTTGTCATATTTGTAAGAATCTGCTGCAGTAGCAAATTGATCACAAAAGAAATTTACAAATTGGTCTATTTTTTTTTTTTTCTTAGTCAGTCAGAAACAGTCTGCATTTGGTCAAAATTATTATTATAATGTTTAATTATTATACTCCTGTAGAAATATACCCTGGATAAATGTTCCAGAAGTTGTGCAATATATGGATCTAGTGTAAAATTTTGTAAGAGGCTTTTCCTGGAGTTGAGAAGTACAAACTAATGTGTTACATAAGAAGGAAGTGATCGTAAATTAATTTTTAAGTTTTGGATCTCCATCAGGTAGCTTTCAGGGTTTGTTAAGAGAGATAAGAATCACACTAAAGTTTGTGGAATGTAATATACTTTACCTGCCTATAACAGTAAATTTGTTGTTCATAAAATTGGGATTGAAGGATATTGGATATTATGGCACAAAAACTAAGCTCTTAAGTGGAGGTATGTTATCAGATATTCAGTGCACTGTTGAGTGAACAGTATTTTTGTCTTGAAGTATTTGATTCCATTTGCAATTTAACCATTCTTTAGTATATATTATGCTTTATGTTTTCAGTGCTTTTTGGCTAGCCTGAATTTTTTTTCCCCTCTGAGTAAGTAAAGGTGCTGTAATATGTCTTTCTGCCAAGGATGATGCATGTGGTGCAGGAGATTGTCAACCCTGTTTTTTTTTAATGCAAATATAAAAGTCAGTGATACACGTTAAATGGTCCTGATACGAATGTGTTGTGAATGATGTATTTGTGAAAAGGAGATTGAATTGATACTTTATAGATCTTTTTAGGATTGGTGAAATTTGGGTATTATTTAAACAAAGAAAATTCAGTTATTGAATTACAGATTTGCTATTGGTGTACATTTCCCAATTTCTTGAAATATGGAAGTCTTAAAAAAACTTACAGTGGAGAAAGCTCAACAGCTGGCAAAAAATATTCATGGTATTTTACTTAGAATTCCATTGAGATTTCTGTAAGAATTATGAATAAGAAATTTTTATAATGGTTTTGTTGACAGGCTTTTAAGGATATCATGTAAAAGAATTTGACAATTCTGCCATAAAAAAAAGAAAAAAAAAATCTTGATGATAAAGCTTGACATAATTTCAACCCTAAGTCCCTTGGAAAGTGTTGTGTTCAGTGTAGTCTTCTTTTGTGAAATGTCTGTGCACATAAACTCTACAAGTGTTTAGCCAGAAAGGAGTCAATTAGTAGACCTTGTGAACTCACTTGATTTCACTTGAATTTGCAGTTTTTTTTTAAATTAATGCTTTCAATATTGATGCTGTTGTTTTTTTTTAATAGACAGCATAATTATTATAGTATTATGGATATTACTAACAGCAATATGAGATACCAGAAAACATTTTTAAAAATCAAGGAAAAGGTTTAACAGGTGAGATGGGTAGTAATTGGCTCATTGGTGACTTAGTACTTGTGGAGCCATCTCTCTTTAAAAACAATTAATAAATTAAACTCAGTATACACACAAACACCATCTCTGGCAGCTTTGGGTTAAAATGTTCAGCTCAGGGTGCAAGAGTTTTTACCATCCCTGTGATGAGCAGGGCATGGGGTTTATTTTACCTATTATGGCTTTCCTGCATACTTCTGACATAACAAGGGCTGATTGGGTCTTACAAGTGCGAAGAGGGGTGTTGGGACGTATACCATGACATGGTATGCACTATAGTCCCTGCACCGCTCTTTTGCTCTGTCAACCTTTAGCAACCTTTAAACATTTGGCAAGACCAGCATTGGCACTGAAGTATGATCTTGCATATTCTTCATCGATTTCCTTCTTTTTAATGTAGTATTTAAAAATTAAGGTTTTGGTTATAATGTTGGTTGATGATTTGATTGTATTTCTTGGATACTTTAGACCAAAAGATATTTCAATAAGGATCAAAACCCTTTTGAAGTGTTTGGTGTGACCTAGAATTTGTATTGATTACAAGAGTGCAAAAGCAGATTATGGAATAGAATAATTAGACTCCAATTTTATGTTATTAGACAAAATGACTTCATATAATTGTTTAGTTGTAAGGAAAATTTAGGAAGTGAAATAAGTACGAGTAAAAAAGTATCAAGTTGATAGTGATATATATGGTATTTAGTTAATTATTTTTTATGTAAATTGGGAGTTTCTGGCTGATTTTTACTGATATTTATCAATTGATTAGCCTACACTGCCAAGTTCCAAAGAAGAAAGCTTAAAATTGTAACTGAAAGATAACTGAAATACTGTTGAGAATGAATGCCTGAACTTTTATGTTTTCCAAAGATTTGCTAGCATTCCTTTTTTTTAAAGATATGTTGTAATTTAGAATGTAACTCTAGAAATAAAGGGAATGTTCTTTTTTGTACTGTATATTTTTTCATGTTGGTGCCTCTCCATGGACATTTCTTTTTGCTCTATTGAACTCAGTTATTTGCTGAGGTTTCATATATATTGTTAGTATTATAACAACTAAGGTTAAAGTTTATTTAGTTTGATATATTAAAGGCTGCAGTTCATCAGTAAATTCTGAATGATATTGTCTTCTTTTTTAAAAGGTTTAGGGATTTTTCTCTCAGTAATTTACTTATATTTCACCCTTTTTCTGTGTATATTTATGTGTAATAGTGGTTTGCTTGATGTCAAAAACAAAAACTGACAGTTATTTTGCTTTTGGTACTTGACAGATGCAATACAGCATATAAATATTTTATTCTAATTTGATATTTATGCATTATTTGATTTAATTTCTATGGCATTTCTACAGCAGTCATTTTCAAGATATACAAATATTCATTCTGTGTTTATCCAGACTCGTGTGAGATTTGCAAAATGCAGACATTTTGCAAACTGTCTTTCCTACTGAAAATTCAGTTTTTGGAATTGCAGTCGTGTTATTGCATATTTAATGTTCTGTGACATTTCTGCATTTCTATGACATTTTTTGAAGAGACATGTTTAACTTATTGGTGCTAGGTACATGCGCTGTCCACAGAATTTTTCCTGCATATTTTTTTTTACACAGAAATGGCTTCACAAGTGCTTGCTCACCAATGTGTCAGTTACTTGGCCTACTTGATCACTCCTATTTACTTTGTTCCTTAGTCTTTTGGGATTTTTTTTTTTTTTTAAATTCTGTTGCTCTCATTATTTTTATTATTTTTCATTATTATTATTATCTCACTAGAAGGATTAATACACTCACACTCACACTCACACTCACACTCACACTCACACTCACACTCACACTCACACTCACACTCACACTCACACTCACACTCACACTCACACTCACACTCACACTCACACTCACACTCACACTCACACTCACACTCACACTCACACTCACACTCACACTCACACTCACACTCACACTCACACTCACACTCACACTCACACTCACACTCACACTCACACTCACACTCACACTCACACTCACACTCACACTCACACTCACACTCACACTCACACTCACACTCACACTCACACTCACACTCACACTCACACTCACACTCACACTCACACTCACACTCACACTCACACTCACACTCACACTCACACTCACACTCACACTCACACTCACACTCACACTCACACTCACACTCACACTCACACTCACACTCACACTCACACTCACACTCACACTCACACTCACACTCACACTCACACTCACACTCACACTCACACTCACACTCACACTCACACTCACACTCACACTCACACTCACACTCACACTCACACTCACACTCACACTCACACTCACACTCACACTCACACTCACACTCACACTCACACTCACACTCACACTCACACTCACACTCACACTCACACTCACACTCACACTCACACTCACACTCACACTCACACTCACACTCACACTCACACTCACACTCACACTCACACTCACACTCACACTCACACTCACACTCACACTCACACTCACACTCACACTCACACTCACACTCACACTCACACTCACACTCACACTCACACTCACACTCACACTCACACTCACACTCACACTCACACTCACACTCACACTCACACTCACACTCACACTCACACTCACACTCACACTCACACTCACACTCACACTCACACTCACACTCACACTCACACTCACACTCACACTCACACTCACACTCACACTCACACTCACACTCACACTCACACTCACACTCACACTCACACTCACACTCACACTCACACTCACACTCACACTCACACTCACACTCACACTCACACTCACACTCACACTCACACTCACACTCACACTCACACTCACACTCACACTCACACTCACACTCACACTCACACTCACACTCACACTCACACTCACACTCACACTCACACTCACACTCACACTCACACTCACACTCACACTCACACTCACACTCACACTCACACTCACACTCACACTCACACTCACACTCACACTCACACTCACACTCACACTCACACTCACACTCACACTCACACTCACACTCACACTCACACTCACACTCACACTCACACTCACACTCACACTCACACTCACACTCACACTCACACTCACACTCACACTCACACTCACACTCACACTCACACTCACACTCACACTCACACTCACACTCACACTCACACTCACACTCACACTCACACTCACACTCACACTCACACTCACACTCACACTCACACTCACACTCACACTCACACTCACACTCACACTCACACTCACACTCACACTCACACTCACACTCACACTCACACTCACACTCACACTCACACTCACACTCACACTCACACTCACACTCACACTCACACTCACACTCACACTCACACTCACACTCACACTCACACTCACACTCACACTCACACTCACACTCACACTCACACTCACACTCACACTCACACTCACACTCACACTCACACTCACACTCACACTCACACTCACACTCACACTCACACTCACACTCACACTCACACTCACACTCACACTCACACTCACACTCACACTCACACTCACACTCACACTCACACTCACACTCACACTCACACTCACACTCACACTCACACTCACACTCACACTCACACTCACACTCACACTCACACTCACACTCACACTCACACTCACACTCACACTCACACTCACACTCACACTCACACTCACACTCACACTCACACTCACACTCACACTCACACTCACACTCACACTCACACTCACACTCACACTCACACTCACACTCACACTCACACTCACACTCACACTCACACTCACACTCACACTCACACTCACACTCACACTCACACTCACACTCACACTCACACTCACACTCACACTCACACTCACACTCACACTCACACTCACACTCACACTCACACGCACACGCACACCCACACCCACACACACACCCACACACACACCACACACACACACACACACCACACACACACACACAACACACACACACACAACACACACACACACAACACACACACACACACACCCACACACACACACACAACACACACACACACACACACACACCCACACACACACCACACACACACACACACACACCCACACACACACCACACACACACACACCACACACACACACACACACCCACACACACACCCACACACACACCCACACACACACACACCCACACCACACCCACACACACACCCACACCACACCCACACACACACCCACATAAAAATTATATATGTGAAAAGGAAACCACAGTGGACAGTGCAAGTATATGTGCAAGCCTGGCATCAGTAGGTAAACGCATAAAATATAAAATAACAATCATGTTAGATACACCTAACAAGGGGAAATACAATAGTAAAGTTAACACAAATGAAAGTCATCACTACTAGTCATTCAGCATTTCAGCATAGTTCCTGATGTACTCAAGACCACTGGTAACTGTATGGTAGTTCTATTGGGAGATCATGTTCCTGGGGATTTATCATTGCATGCTGGTAAATCCCTGATTTTGCTGCTGCAGAAAGACATTCCGAAGTTTTAACATGAACAGAAGAGTAGCGCCTTATTTAACAGAAAGTATAAGAACTATTGTTATTTTTTTATGATTATTTTCCAAAAATTTATTTGCTTTCTGATATAGGTATATGCATTTTTTCTTTTTTTTATTGGTCCTTATTTTTAACAATGTTTGCTAATTAGATAGCTTGATATAAGATATGTACAAGTTAATATATACTCGGACAACTCATGGACTAACTGCATTATGAGGCTGTTTTCAGAGAGGAAACCTTACCACAGAGGGGAAATTCATGCTAATCAAATGGCTGTCTGTAAAAGCCTATGCCAAGTGATGTTTTCTCTGTTTTGTAGGCCTTGAGTTTATACATTTTTTTGCCACAGTTCACGGAGGTGTACAAAGTATCTAATTCTGAAATTGTTTTGGAATTTGAAGTGGGAATATAGTAAATTGATATGAAATTTGTCAAGAAAAAAACACTAGCTCCAACATACACAATCAGACTCAATCAGACAGACAGATTCTGGTGCATGTTTTTTTTTTTTTTTGTACATACGCACATGCATACATATTCACATGCACGTGCACATGCACACACACTCACATACACATGCACACAGACACTCACACTCACACGCACACGCACACGCACACGCACACGCACACGCACACGCACACGCACACGCACACTCACACCACACACACACCCACACACACACCCACACACACACCCACACACACACCACACACACACCACACACACACACACACACACACACACACACACACACACACACACACACACACACACACACACACACACACACACACACACACACACACACACACACACACACACAAAAAAGAGTGATTGATGGGGATGAAGGACAGATGTGAAGGTAAACAGAGAGGGTGACTTGTGTGCATTTGATTTACATTTCATTATTTTATATCAAATTATGAATTCTGTTGATTCATGGCCATTATTGAAAGAAAAATGCTAGTCTAGTTGTGGTTTAGGAGCTTCTAATAAAAACATTTAGAACAGTTAATAGGGTTTCATACATAGGAATGCCTTGTCATATAATAAGATTTTCTTACTGAAACAACATATGATAGTACATAGCCCTCATGTTAAAATTAGGCAAACCAACTGGCAAATCATGTAGTCACTGGAAAAATATTCCAACTTAAGAATAAGATAAGATATAAGTGTTTTTTTTTATTTCTTTTGGACATTATTTATATGATTTTTTTCTTGTCTGATATTTTAGTTTCATTTGGAAAATTAAAAGAAATTGTTGTTTCAAATTAGTGCATAAAGATACACATGTTATTTTGTGAAATTTAATGTTATTATATTACAATTC